TAGATTCACTTGTTGATAGTTACGTATTTGTTGTTCATACTTTTTATCTTTATTTACTTTCTCTTCTGAAAGAACCCCCTTCAGCAATTCATATAATTCTGGTTTGGTGTTGATGAACTCCTTTAGCCTTTTTTTATTAGTGAAGCTCTTTATCTGACCTTCGATTCTGAGTGATAGCTTTGCTGGATAGATTATCTTTGGCTGTAGGTTCTTACTATTCATCACCTTAAATATTTCTTGCCATTCCCTTCTGACCTGCATGGTTTCTGTTGAGAAATCAGCTGACAATCATATAGGTGCTCCTTTATAGGTAACTACCTTCTTTGCTCTTGCTTCTTTTAATATTCTCTCTTTGTCTTTTGCTCTTGGAATTTTAATTATGATTTGTCTTGGTGTGGTCCTCTTTGGATTCCTTTTGTTTGGAGTTCTGTGTGCTTCCTGGACTTGTAAGTCTAATTCTTTCATCAGGTGGGGGAAGTTTCCTGTCACTATTTCTTTCAGTATGTTTTTGATATCTTACTCTCTCTCATCTTCTGGGACCCCCATAATTCTGATGTTGGTTCGCTTGAAGTTGTCCCAGAGGTTTCTTACATTATCTTCAATTTTCTGGATTCTCTTGTCTTGCTTCTGCAGAGGAGTGTCTTCTGGCTCTTTGTGTTCCAACTCTTTGACTTGATTCTTGCGATCTTCCATTCTGTTTTTAGGACTCTGTATAATATTTTTTATTTCAGTCAATGTATTCTTTATTTCTTGTTGATCCCTTATCATTTTTGTTGATTCCTTATTAATTCTAGTTGATCCCTTTTCATATCCTCATAGGGTCTTATCCATCTTTTCTAGGAAATTCTTGAAAAACCTTATAAGTGTAGATTTGAACTCTATATCCAGTCGCTTTTTGTCCTCCATTTCTTTCATTTGTGATCTATTTCGTCTCCACATTTTCGCAGCTTTCCTGAGTTGGTAGCCTTAAAAGTCTCTCTGTTCTGCTTGGATGGGGCGGGGTTTCAGGGTGGAGTCTGCAGCTTTGGCTTCTGTCAGCCCCGCCCTATGTGGGTCCTTCAGTACTAGTTGCAAGCACCTCTGAGAGAAAGGTGCCCTCAATTTTCGCCTGCTGCCAAACAATCTATGCTCTCCCCCAATGAGCCCGGTATTGGGGTTCAGTTCAGTTGGAAGTGGAGTTGGAGCCCCTGTCTCCTTTCCGCCAGGGCAATCCCATGGCACAGCCGACCGTCCCTTCTCTGCGCGCAATGTGCGCGCTGCCGAGACCTTTTTTCGCCGCTGCGGGGTTCCGCCTCGCAGCCCAGCTCCCTATGGATGAGCCTGGGTCCCCGGGGTCTGGCCTAGAACCGGGGTTCAGAGCAGTCAGAACTGGGGCCCAGCGCAGTCGGAGCTTTTATCTCCTTCCGGCTAGGGAACGCCAGCCAGGCACTCAGCCTCCCTCCTCTCCGGCTCCGACTCTGTCCTCTCTGCACACACAGCGTGTCTCCGTACCTTAGGCTTTTCCAGCTCCTCCGCTCTTCCTTCTGGTTTTCTCCTTGCTTCTCGTTGTAGAATTTCCAGTCAGTTAACTTTCCTGTAGTTCTGGGTAATGTCCATTTTATATTTTAGTTGTATTTTATTGAAATTGTTGTGTGCAGCTGCGGCTAGGTGTTTACCTGTCAGCCATCTTGGAACGACTCCTGAATCCCTAAATATTATTCTTAATTTCAGTCAGTGTGTGCTTAATTTTTTTTAACTGGTCCTTTCCCTTTTTTTCTTTTTTTTTTTTTTCTTTTTTTTTTTTTTTTTGGCATTTTCACTACGATTCTCAAAAGTCTCATTAAGTCCCTTGGAGGTTTCTAGAAGATTCCAAAGTAACTATATAACTGTGGTTTTGAAGCCTATATCTAGTAGTTTGCTTTCCTCCATTTCTTTAATTTGTGGCATGTTTCTATGTCTCCACATCTTTGCTGCTTCCCTGTGTTTGTTTCTATGTATTGGGTAGAGCTGCTAAGTTTCCTTGAGTTGATAAAGTGGCCTTGTGTAATAAGTGTCCTATAGTGCCCAGTGGCTCAGCCTCCCCAGTCGCCTGAGATGAACACTCTAGATGCTCTGTCAGGTGTCTGCTGGTTCCATCACTGTTCCCTTCACTTGCCCTGATGGATTCCCCTCTCATACCCCCCAGATGTCAGCTCCTCCCATCTGAAAGAAGCGTCTACTACTGCTGGCTTCCTACCCTCTCCAGGGCCAGCCAAGAGCTCCGGGCTGTAGGGATGCATCTGCGGATCATCTGTGCTTTCCTCCCTTCTCATCTCCCTCTTTATTCCCAGTTGCCCACCTTAGATGTTTCAGTGTGTGGGTCTCTCAGGCATGCCTCTGTATTGAGTAGGGATTTCTTTGTTGAATTATAGTAGGTTACATTTTTGAAATTTCAGGGAAGAGGCCAGGAGGATCTTTCAAACTGCCATTCCTCTGATGTCACTCCTCAATATACTTACAAAGGATATAGTTTCAATTAATTTAGCTTCAGTTCCCTTTAACAGTGATATGCACATCTATAATGTACATCTTTATCCCACAGAGCTCAAGTTTTAGTGGGAAATACAGGTTCTAAATAATCACCAACTCCTCATTAGAAGTCAGAAAAGGCTGAAACCAGTTTGGCTCAGTGGATAGAGCATAGGCCCGCAGACTGTAAGGTCCCAGGTTTGATTCTGGTCAAGGGCATGTACCTTGGTTGCGGGCACATTCCCAGTGGGGGAGGGGGGAGTGCAGGAGGCAGCTGATTGATGTTTCTCTCTCATCAATGTTTCTGACTCTCTATCCCTCTCTCTTCCTCTCTGTAAAAAAATCAATAAAATATATATATATATATTTTTAAAGTTAGAAAAGAAGGAAGGAAAGTAAAAAACTTAAATGTACAATACATTATATTCATAGAACCTCCTATGCTCCCTGCAGATAGGGAAATTGAACAAGCATATGAGTGATGTGATATGAGACAAAATAGAAAAAAGGTGCTTGAATTTTTGTTAAAGTACAACCTTCTCTCAAATCAAGGTGTAAGAAAACCTTACTAGCAATATATATATATATATATATATATATATATATATATATATATATAGTAATATATATTACACTAATATATGTACTGATATATATAGTACACACACATATATGTATACATATACACTGAGTGTCCAGATAATTATGCATTCAGAGATCATAATAATCTGACCACTCAGTGTATATGTATATGTGTGTAAACATACACACACTGAGTTCAGTTTTGTGTAAACTTAACATTGATAAAATATTATAAAAGTTTGTCTTAGAATTTCAGATGCTTATTTTTAAAATATTTTATGGCAGTGTTATAAGTCATTCTTTAATATCTCAACATGTAAAATACTAGAATCACAGCACGCAAAATCGTGTGGCCCCACCTGCCCCTGCACACCCTGCCATGCTCACAGCCCCACCCACCCACACTGGTCTTTGGTCCTTAGGGCCACTGGGTTTTTATAATAGAGATACTTAGGTTGAGGTCCATCATTAGTGATGGTAGATAAAAACCCATATTTCAAACTGTCTTTAAAATTCAACTTTTTAAAAAGTTCTTGTCAGATTGGTTAATTTGTCAAGAGTGGCTGTCCATGTTCTCCCATCAGCATAAAGAGAAAGCTGGCTTTGCTAATTCACCTTTGTTTCCTTGACCCCCAACCTATGCCTTTCTTATGAAACTATTTTCAGACAATTGCCATTTTATGAGGCTTAATTAACTGTGATTGAGTTAATAGATGATAAAGGTCACAAATATACTTCAGTGGATATATACACATTAAGATACAAACACTGATTGTCTTTTGCCTGTCCTCCATATTCCCTGCACAACCCAACATCTTCTCACTTACCTGAGCACATAACAGTATATACTTATTTGTATAACTCCCTCAGTAGACTAGAACCCTTTGAAGATCATAATTCTTACTTAGCCATTTTTAAAATTTCATGTTTATCATGGCACCTGTGCATGGACATTTGCTCTTTTGCTCTCAAATTGAATGTTCTATTGAAGCATCGGTTAGTCAAGAGTTATCGCATCTTCAGTCCTGATCCCATTATTTAAGAGACCTACAGCCCCACAGGAAACAGAATACTCACTGGTAACTTTGAGTGAAAAGAAGGGAGGGAAGAAGTTCCAGATAAGCACTTTGTAAACATCTGAGGACTGATGTTGGTCTATGGTACAGCAGAGGTTTTCACTGGCCTTGATAAGGACAAGGAAGTAATTTTTCACAAAGCTAAATTGATTAAATTGATTCAGTTTGAAGGACTATTTTTTTATTTTCTTTATTTATTAAGGTACTACATATGTCCTTATCCCACTGCTCCCCCACCCTCCTGCTCATGCCCTCACCCCCCTTGTGTCTGTGTCTGTTGGTTATGCTCATATGCAGATCTCTCCTCTTACCCCCACCCTCCCCTGCCTTCCCTCTGAGGTTTGATGGTTTGATCAATGCTTCTCTGTCTCTGGACCATTTCCTTATCTGAGATAATATATTTAGTTGATTTTAAATTTATCTTTAGTTAGCAAAATTAAAAAATAGCAACGTTATAGAAATTTCCAACGTAGTTCTGACATGTTCCTGATTCATTAAACTCAGTAACCACTGGCCTAGTATAAAAAACACTAAGAAAGAGAGTGTATGGGGCAGCACAAGTCTGTGAGCATTGGGGGTACCTGCAAGGGTAACAGAGGGATAGAACAGGGGAGACCACCGCCCTCTGAGCCAGGAGGCACCACTCCAATGATAGGAGTCCCAGTAGGGGTGGCCTCAGTCACAGACTTTTCTTTGGGGCCACAGCTGCTCCCCTGTGATCGAGGAAAGTGCTCAGATGACTTGCATGGTATTTTCTTGCACTAGTAGTCTTACTTTGTGATATTTTTATAACCTCCTGAGGACGACAGTTTTACTGGAGATTCCTTTCATATTTGATGTTTCCTCTTTCTGCAGACACCGTCCTATAACAAATACAACCTCCAACCCCGAACAACTGAAAAGCAGGCTAAAGAGATCCTGATTCGCCGCCAGAACACCTTGCGGGAGAGCATGCGGAAAGGTCACAGCCTGCTGTGGGGAACACCGGTAAGGGGGGCTTGTAAGCTGGACACACCTGAGAGCTGGCTCATCCCAGGACAGGGCCTCCTCAGGTGACCACCACTGACCCTTAAACAAACAAAACCACTGGCTTTTGGCAGAGAAATGCAAAAGCAGTGGGGCAGGACACACACTCAGGTATCCCTCTTGGAGTTCAGGACCTTAGGAACACAAGGGGTCTCTCCCAGGAGGAGTAAGTGAACGCAGTGCACGTACTGTGCCCTGAGTCTGAACTGGCTCCATGGCGGCCAGGACTGAAGGATCCTGGACTTTGGCACCAGAACCTCTGACTCTTAGAAGATTACACCTCTCCCAGCAAAGGGTTGTTTTAGCCAAGATAGTTGGACTTTATTTCCATATTATCCACTGCGCATCTGAGCTATTCCGTTTGAAGACATATCAAAGCAATCTTACTGGGACCCATGGATGGAGCTGGGTCTGGGGTAGGTCTTCCTCTCCACCCTAATCTCAGGGAGGCTGTGGAAATAATTTTGAGAGGTTTACAATGGTCTATTTTATCACAACAAGGAAAGCAAATATACAGTATATTAAAGACTGAAGCATTCTGTTTTTTAAAATAAAAATAACTGAAAGCCAGTGATCCAGAAAAGATGCCACAGTGTAAGTCTGTGTACTTCACTTTGTTTGCCACGTGAAACTTCAAATCGCAGTAGCTAACTTTGCCTTTATTTCTGCTTGTTCCCTACAGGCTGGTGCCAAAAACATCCGCTACCTCTCCTTTCCCTACAGCCGTCCGCACCCAGCACCGGGAGATGAGGAGGCTGCTGCCCTCGAAGGTGACTGTGTCTGGCTGCTGGTCCTCTTTTCTGGAAAGAGCGAGATGATATATATTTTGGGGCTTGGAGGTCAAAATGAAAAGTTAAGACTATTATATAGGACTTTTAGAAGCAAAAAGAGGAAGAGAGAGACAAAAAAACAACTTTTTATTAATTTAATTCAAAAATTCATTGATAGACACTGAAATTTAAATTTCCTATCATTTTACTTGTCATGAAATAATTCTTTTAATTTTTTCAGCTATTTAAAAATGTAACAACCATTTTCAGTTCACAGGCAGCAGACCAAATATAGCCCAAGTCTACTAATTTTTCTTAGAAAAAAAAAAATTGGCACATTATTAAAGTCACAGAATTCACCCATGGTTTTAAAATTTCCAGAACTCTCCAAAGTTGGTTAAATTTTACTAAAATAATTTAATTAAATTTACTGATTAAATGCTTCCCTTTTAATATCTGTGCATGCATATTACATATGCATGCATATCAATTTAAATTTTTCTAAAATTTTAAGATTTTAAATCACATTTAAAATTCAAATAACCTAACCATATATGATTTTATTTTTTCCTATCTAATAAAAGAGTAATATGCAATTGACCATATCTCCACTATACCGACAAGCCATGCCCACCAGCCAATCAGAAGCAAATATGCAAATAAACCCAACCAAGATGGCTACAGCCACAGATAGCAGGAGGGAGGCTTGGGTTTCCACAGCAATGGAGGAAGCCAAGCTTTCCACCTGCCCTTGCTGACCTAGGCTTCCACTCAAGGATACAAAATTTCAATGATAGAAGATAAATAAATCCAAACAGAAATGGTGGCAGCCACAGAGCTGGAAAGAACAGGAAGCTAGGGTTATCCCCAGTGATGGAGGAAGCCAAGATTCTGAAGCCCTGGCCTGCCTTGGCTTCTGCTTAAAGCTACAAAGTTTCAATTATAGAAGATACATAAATCCCAACAGAAATGGCTGCTGCCACAGAGCAAGCAGGAGGCTTGGCTCTGCTCTAGGATACAAAGTTTCAGTTGTAGAAGAAAAATAAATCCCAGATACCAGGGCCTCCACTTAGGTCACTGGGGAGCATGGCCAGCCTGAAAACCTCCACAAGACCCTCACCCAGGCTGACCCTCACCCAAGGGAACCCCTCCCTGATTCAGGACACCTTTCAGGGAAAACCAGCAGGCCCACACCCATGCACCAGACCTCTATCCTATCTAATAAAAGAGTAATATGCAGATTGACCATCATTCCAACACACAAGATGGCTGCCCACATGTGGTCAAAGATCCTGCCCCCCCCCCCCAATGTGGACACAAGATGGCCACCACAAGATGGCCAGCAGGGGAGGGCAGTTGGGAAAGACCAGGACTGTAAGGGCAGTTGGGGGCAATCAAGCCTGCAGTGGAGAGCAGTTAGGGGTGACCAGGCCGGCAGAGGAGGGAAGTTGGGGGTGACTGGGGGGCAGGAAAAGACAGTTTAGGGGAACACAGGCCTGCAGGGGAGGGCAGCTAGGGGCAAACAGGTGGCAGGGGAGCAGTTAGACATCAATCAGGTTGGCAGGAGAGTGGTTAGGGTTTGATCAGGCTGGCAGACAGAAGTCGTTAGGGGTAATCAGGAAGGCGAGCAGTTAGGAGCCAGCAGTTCTGGATTGTGATAGGGGTCCCAGATTGGAGAGGGTGCAGGATAGACAGAGGGACAACCCCCATTTGTGCATGAATTTTGTGCACCAGGCCTATAGTTTTATATATATTTGTATTGATTTCAGAGAGAGAGAGGAAGCAAGAGATAAAAATATCAATGATGAGAAAGAATCATTGATTGGCTGCTGGGATCAAGCCCAAAACCCGGGCATGTGCCCTGACCAGGAATTGAACCCATGACCTCCAGGTTCATAGGTAGATGCTCAACCACTGAGCCATGCCGGCTGAACACATATAGGATTTTAGAATTAAATATTTGAAAAGTGAATATATCATTCTTTAAAATTAAAATTTTATTTCTGATTTTAAAATTTGTTTGATATAAAAACAAAATCAACCAGTATTGAAAGGAATAAAAAGAAGCCAAAAGTACTTGAGACCCCAAACCCAGATATAATCACTATAGACAATCTGGTTGGGGTCCCATAATTCTCTCTACACCCTCCTGATCCAGACCCTACCCAGACCTGATACAAAAAACACACGAAAACAAGTCACAAACCACCACCACCATCATATACATAAAATCATATCGAATAGCATTGTCTATTATAATTCACTCAACCATATGTTGTAGACATCTTCCCATGTCAATAGATATGAACCTTTTGATCATTTTTAATTACTTAATAAAAATAAATTATATAAGAGAACCATGATTTGTTTAATTAAATCCTTATTGACAAATATTTAAGGTAGTTCCAAATTTTTTTGTGAATATAAGAAATGATATATAATAAGTGCCTTGGATCACTTGTAATGGATTTTTGCACAAACATGCAATTACTTTCTTAGTACTTTTTCCTGGAAGTGAAAATTTTGGCTAAAAAATTATATATATCTAAATTTATGTATATCAAAAGTCTGTGAGAAAGGTCATTGCTAAACACTTACCATCACTGGCTAATGTCAAACTTTTGAGTAATCTATGATATGATAGGATAAAATTTAATTTTCTTGAGTTCTTTTATTTTTAGCACGGTTGAGCATAATTTCATAATTTTAGAGCCATCTGTCTTTCTTTTGAGGAAGCTTCTGTGTTTCCTTGGCCCATTGTTTTCTATCTGGTTGCTATTTTCCTTAAATGAATTTGAAGAACATTATGTAATTAAGACATCATCTATTGTCTTGTATTTGTTGTTAATGCTTTTTCCTCAAGTTTCACAGTCACCTTTTAGTTTTTGGACACACTTGCCATTCAGATTCTGATGAATCAAACTTATTTGATTTCCAAAGAAAAATTAGGAAATGACTTACAGTAGAACCTTGGGGCTTGAACTTAATTCGTTGCAAAAGGCTGTTTGAGAAGTGATTTGTTCCTAAACTGAGCCATTTTCCCTTAGAAATAATGTAAATGGAATTAATCTGTCCCAGGCCCCAAATGATCCCGTGCTGACCTTCCCCATGCACAGCACGTGTCTAATGAGCTGTTTACCTATAAACACACACTTCTCTGACATCAACTGAACTGCCTCCCGCTGAGCTTAAAGGAACCACGCCCCGCACTGGCCCAGGTGTCCCTCAGGCAGCCTGCGGCATCTTCGCTTGTTCACAGGGCACTGCTCTTCCTTCACCAAATCAGCCTGTTTTCCCAGCTCTCCGTGCCTGTGCTCACTGCTGCTTTCACACCCTAGCAACAATAGCACGCTTGATGCCTCTTATGTTTTAAAATTGTGCTAATTGTCCATTTCATCTGCAGCAAAAGCAATGCTCCCCACCTCCACCCCCCCCCCCACACACACACACACACACACACATCTCCCCTAAAATACTCATGGCATAATTTCCTGAGATAACAAGCAAGGTTAGGTGGTAAACTGACTCACGTCCTTCCCTTTTTTGTGGCCTGAGGGACATTTTTGTCCTGCTGTTGTAGCAGCAAGAAAGGGTTATGAGGTTGAGAACTGAAATTCCACAACTTGAGACATTATTTCTATAAACAACCTGGTTTGAGGACCAGGGTTTGACTAGACACAATATTTTTCATCTAGAACTTTAATAGCTTGACTTTCTCATATATATTTCAAATTATCTGAGATTTATCTTTGTAGATGAAGTAGAGACTGTTTTCAAGTGGTTTTGTTCCTGTCCCTACACCGTTTTTCCCTATAAAATGAAATGCCATCTTTGTTGTACTAAAGCCACTCATCCTGAGAGCGTTTCGAACTCTCAATTCTGTCTCATTGGTCTAGTGTCTCTCAGATCACAGTCTCATCACTAGTGTCATTTTGTGCTATTCCACAAACAAAGCAAACACGAGGTGAAGCCTCCTCGGCAGGAAGATGTGAACACCTGTTCTTCCACCTGCCCCAGGGCCTCACCTCTGGAGGGGCAGCAGAGATGCAGCAGGAGAAGCAGGGAGGGGAGGGGCTCTGCTCAGGGTTACTGGTAAGGCTTCCAGTCAATAGTAGGCAATTAGGAAAGTTTGGGGGAGTCAACAGTTTCCATGGACCTTTGACTGTGCAGGCCGTTGGTGCCTCTCATCCCCAGGCTACTCAGGAGTCCACTGTCCTCTGCTCACAGCTGGGGAAGCTGGCCTGAGGGTCCGGCTCATAAGAACGCTGAGTGTCAGAGCTGGATCCCAAAAAAGGCCTGCTTCATGCTGTGCTCTCGCCATCGAGATTTCTCTTCTCTCTGACCTGGTCTTGCTCTTACCTTTTCTCGTCATGCTTTCCTAGATGCGGACAGCAGTGATTCAGAACTCTCCTTCGCCATGTTCCACGCGTACTCTCCAGCACGGTCACTGCAAGAGAGACAACGGACACAACAAATAACCACAGTGAAGAGTTTAAACAGAGGAGGGAAGCCGTCCAGCTCTGGTTATCAAATAAGTCCAAGCCAAGAAGAGCATGTTGGCCGGAGCAGAAAGGCTCTGAGGCCCAAACCGCTATTCCACACGGTGGATGAGGAGCGTGAATCTGGAGAGGAGAGTGGGGAAGAGGCCTCCACCCCGGGGGCTGGGCAGTGGGCTGAGCATGGGAGGGAGCCCAGCAGGCCTTTGCTCCGAAGGAAGTAGTTGTGTTGGACACAGGCTTGATCCAGCGTCCTCCTGAGCCATCTCCCTATTGGGTGGGTGAAGGGTCAGAATCCTGAAGAAAGCTGCCGAGCTGGCTTTTTGAAGCTGTGAGTCAGGCACAAGAGGCAGCGGGGGCAGGATGGGAACACTAACCTGCAGGCGGTGCCATATTCTTAGCTGATACACTTTGTAGATGCTTTCCTGTGAGTCAAAGACCTTTATCACCCCAGAAATTACTCACTGAGGATTTCTAAGTGTGTGTGATCCATTTTAATTTATTGAGAAGCAATGTGGTTGGTAATTTACCTTGACAATATGCATGTACAATTTATAACCAAGGTAGACCTCAGAGGAGCCCTAGAAATATACTACCACATAAGAGCCATCAGCCCAAAGGGACGAAGCCATGGAAGACCCAGGGATCCAGCCTTTTCTTTTTATTTAAACAAACCAGCCCTCAGAGCCACAGATAAACACCTATGGCTCTGGAGAGGGCGTCAGTGAGTCACTACCCTTAACCCGTAGACGGAGAGACAGAGAAGAGAGGGGTGGTCAGAAATCACCTTTCCAAATCCACACGCAGGCCGGTTCTTGATAGGTAGGGAGTGGCCAGTCCCTCGTGGACTTTCCACTCAGCACCAGAGCCCACCCCGAGAAGGCTCCGGGGCAGGGGCTGCTGGGAGTAACCTGCTCTGTTCTGGAATGTGGGACCTATGGAACTGGCACTGAGTGACATCGGACACTGTGAGGTTTGGGACAGAGCCTTTAATGAAAGCAGTGCTGCTGTTCAGGGGGCTCTGCGACCCAGATCCTGCACAACCTGGACAGTGAGATTTCCTCTCTATACAATGAAGGGGTTAAAAAGAAAGAAGCAGGGCAGAGAGAGACTTACCTAGCAGGATCCTGCAGAAAGCTTGCAGCCTTGAGCACAGCATAGCTCAGGTAAGCAGGAGACTCCTGGCATGGGAGGAACCAAGGAGAGACCAGACCCGTCTCCCACATTCTTTCACAAATGGAGTTAACTATCTGCCCGCAAGAGAGTGCAGTAGAAAGCATGTTCCTGGGACTAATTCAGACTGCTAGCCCCCCGAAAATGTTTCATTTTCCCTATCAACTACGGTTCTTCTCGGAGAGGCTGGCTCCATCAGGGAGAGGGTTAGGATTAGAGGGTAAATTGGAACTTTCTCCTTTAACTGGTGGAAACCATAATGGAGTTGTTTTCCCCGAGGACTTTGCTCACCTAGACACTGTCCGGTCAGGGCTGTCCCTGTCTGAGAAGCAGCCCTGGGGTGTGCCCGGAAGGCACGGCAGGCGAGGGGTGAGCAGTCCTGGTGGCTCCGGTAGACTCTGAGAGCTCGTGGAGGACTGGCCTCTTGTTTACCATCCAAGATGGCTTCAGAATTCAGTGTGATCTGCTCTTCATTCCTCTGTGACTTGGGATGACTTGAGGGTCTAACAGGCGCCTGAGGGATGCTCTAGTTTCCCAGGACAAGTGTTTTGAGCAGACAACACACAGCTCAGCAGCGAAAGTTTCCTCTGGAGTGCTGAGGAAGATCTGGCTCTTCTTCCTTCCTCGGTTCTGGGGGGCTGCAATCGCATGAGGGCCTGGGAGCAGCCAGGCCTGGGAGCAGCCAGGCCCGGAGCAGCCAGGCCCATAGCAGACAGGCCCGAAGCAGCAGCATACAGGCCTAGAACAGCAGCAGCCAGGCCCTGAGCAGCCAGGCCTGGAGCAGCCAGGCCCGGAGCAGCAGCAGCCAGGCCCAGAGTAGCATGTTCTCCCAGGCCTGCAGCTCCCAGCCTGGCTGCTGCTGCTCCAGGCCTGGCTGCTTAGGGCCTGGCTGCTGCTGCTCCGGGCCTGGCTGCTTTGGGCCTGGTTGCTCCGGGCCTGGATGCTTCAGGCCTGGATGCTGCTGCTCTGGGCCTTGCTGCTGCTGCTTCAGGCCTGGATGCTCCAGGCCTGGCTGCTGCTGCTTCAGGCCTGGCTGCTGCTGCTCCAGGCCTGGTTGCTCTGGCCCTGGCTGCTGCTGCTCTGGGCCTGGCTGCTCTGGGCCTGGCTGCTGCTGCTCCTGGCCTGGCTGCTGCTGCTCCAGGCCTGGCTGCTCCAGGCCTGGCTGCTCTGGGCCTGGCTGCTGCTGTTCCAGGCCTGGATGCTGCTGCTCTGGGCCTGGCTGCTCCAGGCCTGGCTGCTGGCCCTCTAAGCAGTCTACCTGCTCTGCCTGGGGCAGAATTTACCCTTTTTTCTTTAACCTCAAAAAATCAGACACACAGCCCACAGAATCTTAATTTCTCTGTAAGTTGTTTGTTTGCTTTGCTTCTGCTTTTGTTTCCTCAGACCTGTTTATATTGCCGGGCTGAATGGTTTTGTGTTCCCATGAATTCTGAGTTGGATAAAGTAGTGTTTCCTTGTATTCATCCTGTACAGAGGCTTTCCACCTTAAGGTTTTTCACATGTTTTTGGTGCTTATGATAAATGTTCACATTCATCTTCCCCAGCCGTGATGTGATGCCACGGCCCTGCTCTCATCTTTAATCACTCTGCTAGCAGGGAAACCCTGGCCAGCGGTTGCAGAGGGATCTGCTGGGACCAAGTGGAGAGGAGATTCTGGGCATTATATTTTGCTTCCTTCATGCTCTTCTCTGGCTCATGAAGGCCGTGTACTTCTGTTTTCTCTTCTTGGAAATGTAAAAGTGTCATGGGAGGTAGGGCTAGAATTACCACCTGAATTCAGTGACAGAGTGACGATTAGTGTATGGCAGGTGCCTGCTAGGGCAGGTGTGTGGCAGAACTCAGCTCTTCAGCTGAGAGAGCTGGTTTCAGCCCACAGGGAAGCCTCACTCCTCCTTACCTGCTTGGAAGCCTGCCACTCAGATCATTCAGATTTTAAAATCAATACAATTAGTTCAGAACGCAGACTCTGAAGTCAGACCATTTCTAGCTGTAGGACCTTGGACAACTTAACTATCTTCCCTAAGCTGAAAATTACTGATTAATAATCTAAGGTATTAATTTCATCTACTTCATAAAATGGTAACAAGGATTAAATAAAATAACTTGTAAGATTCTTAGCTTTGTGCTTGTTTTATGCTAAGAGTTGGATGACTAACAGCTATAACTATTTAGGCTAAAATATCTATTCCTGAGAAAAGGCTCACAGGGACTGGATAACATGAGGAGGCATAAATAACAGAAATCTGCGACTTTTCTGAGAGACATTGGATTGTCATAATGGAGGACACTTGGGGGCCTGGTGAGAGGATGTGGCAGAAACAGAAAGCACTGAAACATGACCACCTGGCCATGTCTCTACCCGCACCTATCAGTCCACAGCAAAACCAGAGGAGAGATCTGACTACAGATGCATGTCTTTCAATCACAGCGTGTTTTACTTCTGTGTAGTTCCCTCAAAATCATGGCATTTCCTACGTTGGGGACAATTACCCTGGTGTCCAATTTTAACCACAGTTTATTTCCAAAGAGACCGTGAATTCCCAAGGCCTGCCTCTGTGACCACGGTCGGCCAGTGCAGGAAGGGACTGCTCCTCTGGCAGGGCAGAGGGTGCGGCTCCACTCCTCAGCCCCGGGTCTTCTCCATGAGAGGTCTTCCCTCAAAAAGAGTGATTCTTTTACTGTATGGATATAAAATAGAGGGATACATTTTCAAGGATTTTCAGGATGGAAAAAATAGTTTCTAGTGATATTTCATAACTTTCTAAAATTAGGAAAAGTAATTTTTTAAAAATAGAATCAATAAATATATGTTGGTGTTGTCTAAGGTTTTTGCAAGTATATTTCATAAGACAGATTGTTTATTGTAGGCTAGAGGCTCAGTGTACAAAATTTGTGCACAGGTGTGGTCCCTAGGCCTCGCCAGCAATCGAAGCACGAGCATCTGGCATGGAAGGACGGGTCCCAGCTGACCTCTGGGCCCTGGGCAGCACCTGGACCCCAGGCCCTTTTGTGCCCTCCTCCAACTGAGTCATGGCATATCAGTCCCCAAGCAAAGATGCAGTGAGCTCAGCCAGATGCCATGGGCCAGAACATAGCGTGGAAGCTGGGTGGGCAGCGCACTCTCTCCCAGCTGGCCTCAGCAGGCTGGCTCCTGCATGAACCCACACTGAGCCTGACAGGCCCCTGAGGTCCCAGCAGCTGCAGCCCTGCTCATCCAGAAGCTCACTGGGGCCGGCAGCGCCTCCACTGCCACTCGCTGCCAGTGCCTCATCTCTGATGCCCGCCATGTTTGTGCCACCCTTTGGCGGTCAGCGCATGTCATAGTGAGCAAACTCCTAATGGAACTCCTGGTCAAGGGGACAATTTTCATATTAGGCTTTTATTATATAGGATATCTTTCATTGATTTCAGAGAGAAAAGGAGAGGAAGAGAAGGATAAAAACATCACTGATGACAGAGAATCATGGGTCAGATGCCTCCTGCATGCCCACACTGGGATCGAGACCACAACCTGGGCCTGTGCCCTGACAGGGAGCCAAACCTAGACCTCCTGAGTCATAGTCGATGTTGAACCACTGAGCCACGCCCACCAGGCTCTTGTTCTAATTTTAAAGGACAGAGAATTAGCACCCCAGAGGTCAACTTGCCCAAACAGCCAAGTTACTCAGTGGCAGGGGGAGGGAGGGGCGGTTCTAAGCTTGCACTCACGAGGCCTCTGTGTTAATCGGTTCGGCCAGGGGGTGGGTGGACAGTCTCTGGCTCTTCAAGCGGCACTTCTTCAAGGCCCTCAGATTCCCCTCATGACCCCACCCGCCCTATCTGCCTCAGCTCCGAGGCTGAGGAGGGCGGAGGATGGGAAGGGCCTGGGAGGGGATGTGGAAGGAGAGAAAGGGGCAGAGCTAGGAGCACCACAGACCCCGGGTGGGAGTTAGAGGCAACAATCTGGATGCTGATCGCCCTGTCCCAGTGTCTCAGGAGCGTTTCTCTCTCTGGAAGCACTGCAAGCATTGCCTTAGGCCGCGGACTTGGCTCTCTGTTCTGAGGTGCAGGATCCCCTCTGTCCTGAAACTGGAGTCGGACGACCTGGACAGGCCTTTGCATTGGCCCCTGAGCCCTTTGGTGTCACACGTGACCAGGTTCCAGGCACAGCTGATATGTGTATCCACAAGGGGGCTTCATTTTTCCAGTTTTCAACATTTGCTTTCCATAATACTGTACATTCTGTTTTTTGTACCAAAAATAAAACCATTTGCTTGTTTCCAATAAGTACTTGTCACCACTGAAGTGAGCCTGGGTGGGGCAGGGGCGGGGGGGGGGGGGGGGAGCAGCATGTGGAGGGATTAGGGCAACCAGACAGAAAAGACCCGCCTCCTGGGCCTCAGTGTGGGAGGCTTGTCTTGAACATCCACATCCCTGGTGTGGAGCTCAAACTAAGGTTGGGGTTTTACAGTCAGACCCTCAAAACGGATGGGATCTGACCCCAGGCCCCCTGCCGGCAGCTGCCAGAGACCCTGCCTTCCCAGAGGCCAAGCTGAGCATGGGGCCTCCTCCCCGCTCTCGCGCCCCGCCCCCCCATCATTCCTCATGCTCTGGCTTCCCGCCAGCCCCCCTCAAAGCTGCCACCTCAGCTGCCAGTTTCCACTGTCTCCACATCACCCTCGGGGAGGGTGCTGTCACCTCCTGTCTCCCTGCATCCTCCCCCTCAGTTTGCTCCTGACACAGAAGCCAGAGGGTCTGTCCCCACTGGCCAGCCTGGCGGGTCCGCACCTATAGCCCCGGTGCCTCCCCTGCACTCAGGGGACACCAGGTTCTCAGGGCCCTCGATCCCCACAGGATGTGCCCCCTGACCCAGCCTTGACCCCCTTGGTCTCTTCTCTGCTGCCCTTCTGTGGGCTGTCCCCTCTGCCCGATGCCCTTCTCCAGGCCTCTGCCTGCTCTCCTCCATCATCCACTGCCCCTCAGCGAGCCTCCCTCTGCCTCTCCCTCCAGTAGCCCCCATGGGGATTCATCCCCATGTGTTCATGGTGCCTGAGCCCTCTAACAGCTGCACCTCACGTCTGTCCGAGGCTGTTTCCTTCCGCACCCCCGTCCTCTCCTGGCAGAACACGTGCTCAGAAGGACAGGGAAGCTGGCTCCCTGGAGCTCTATGATCACCCCGGCCTGCCTAGGACAAGGCGGGTCCTCAGGCAGTGACATGGGTGCTCAGGCAGTGATAGGGTGCTCAGGCAGTGATAGGGTGCTCAGGCAGCCATAGGGTGCTCAGGCAGTGACACAGTGCTCAGGCAGTGATAGGGTGCTCAGGCAGTGACACAGTGCTCAGGCAGTGATAGGGTGCTCAGGCAGTGACAGGGTGCTCAGGCAGTGATAGGGTGCTCAGGCAGTGATAGGGTGATCGGGCAGTGACACAGTGCTCGGGCAGTGATAGGGTGCTCAGGCAGTGACAGGGTGCTCAGGCAGTGATAGGGTGCTCAGGCAGTGACACAGTGCTCAGGCAGTGATAGGGTGCTCAGGCAGTGACAGGGTGCTCAGGCAGTGACAGGGTGCTCAGGCAGTGATAGGGTGCTCGGGCAGTGATAGGGTGATCGGGCAGTGACACAGTGCTCGGGCAGTGATAGGGTGCTCAGGCAGTGACACAGTGCTCAGGCAGTG